CCCCCCCCCTCCCTTTTAACAGTGATTCAGATGCATGCAAATATGTAAAATTTAAAATACCCCTGTTTGGGCATTTTGCATAAGCGTAATGAACATTTCTCACCCATCACCCCCATGTAAGCTTTCCTGATGGCTTAAGAGCAATCCTCCTCAGTGACTGCTTCTTCATTCCTGTGTGTGTCATCACTGTACAGGGCGACTTGTTCAGCAGGACAAAGTCATCTCATTACACTGGCCTGGGGAGGGACTCTTGTGAGCAAAAAAAGAGATGGAAAAAACAAGAACAAAACCCACAAATGGAAGATTTCATTTGCTTCAGCTTAAATTGGTGTCGGAAGTCATATTTTGCAAACCTCATACTTTTCAATATTTCTGCTTTCCTTGCGGAAATTCTTAAACCTTTATTTTCTTTCTTAACTGACCGTATAAATAAGGCCTTTAAAGTTTTTCTTGAAAATGTCTAATACATGTAAACACGTTCAAGTTTGTATACTTTGATATGCTGATATCTTTAGACCTTTTTCTTTTTAAAGATCTTTATACCACAGATAAAATGTAGCTTATAATTAAAATCTTTGAGGTTATATCGCTCGGTGAAAATCAAAAATAGAGAATGTAAAGCTGTTGAAAAATCTGGCTTATTTTTTCATTTAAAAACCCACCGTATCTAACTCAAGACTGTTGGTATCCATGTAATGATCTGTCGCAGCAGGAGGCATGTAAAACAAGAAGCTTATTTTACTGCATGCCAATCCCCTTCCTTGCGTTTCTAAAAAGCACAGTTACATTATATATTTAAAACTCCTAGGAATTTGATGGTATTTCCATGCAGCAGGTAACCTGCTGAGAGAGCTGTGTTAGACAATAACGTGAAAAGGTTTAAGACTGGAGTAAGAAAAGCCATTGCACCCACGTCATTTCATTTTATTTTATACACGTATGCATGCACGCATACATATATATAAGAATATATATATATATATATATATATATAATATGCATTATATGATGTTACGTGTGGTTTGCTTTTTTGTGGTATGGACCTGCCTAGGCTAACCAAGAGCTGGCCCCGTGACTTTGTGACACTGCTGTCATATGGAGTCTCCTCTCTGTACAGCGGCATGTATGATGACTTCCTCTTTTACTGCTGCTCTGCTTTTTCCCCTCTAGTAAGCACTTAGTGAGAAGTGTCCTGTCTTAAATTAGAGTGAGTCTATCACCGTCATCATTTGCTTCTAGACGTGTGCTACTCCAGAAGGCTGCTTGCTGAAGGTTGGGGACATTAAGATAGGTCTTGCAGCAATCCGGTCATCAAAATATGTGCTGTTCTGTCATTTGATGGGAAATAAAGAGGGTGCTGTGCCTGCCTTGTGTTAGAAATTTCCATTAGTTAAATTATTCTGTCTTATCCTGGTAAAAGTAAGTAATATTCCAGTGATAAAGAAATGTTTCCTTTGTAAAATTTTCAGATATAGTATCTTCAGTGTCACAGGTTATAATCTGAAATAATACTAAATCCGGTAAGTATTGGATTAGATACTATTATTTGCAATTAATAGCGGACTTTGCAGTTTTCTGTTCCTCCTGGGTTTTGCAGATGATTTTTGTGTAATGTATTTTGCTCGTAAAGAGTTTTCAAAGGTGTGTACTGTTACAGACTCTGTAACATAATTCTGAAAGAATATGGTACATTATCTGAAATAATTTGCCTTAAAATGTTTCACATATGACTAATTTAATGAGACAAAGGAGAAGGAAATGACGGGATAATATAAATGTGATTTTAGTTAGCAAGTTATTGTTAGCGTACATGGGAGTCGTCAGAAGAAGCAGGGAGACTGCCTTCCAGTGTCGCTGGGGCGAGTGGTTCACAGCCTGCTCTTCCTGCCTGCTCTGTGATGGCTCAGGGTTACCCAGTTCTTCCTTCCAGCCTGGAACGCAGCAGTTTGTAAGGTAGCTGCCCATATAGGGTCCATAGCTGTGAAATAGCAGCGGGCTGGGAAGCAGCTGGCACAGGTTTCGTAGGATGGTGTTAAACATGCCTCTGTGTAATGACAAGAGCAGGTAGCTGTGTGGTACGGGTGGTTACAAGGATGTGGTCCTCAATGAATACGTTTAGCAAGCGGACCCATGTTAATACGCATGCCTCATTTACGGTCAGAATCGGTGCACTGAGTTTCCAGAACCGATGCTGAAATGTATCGGGGTTCACAGTGCTTGAATCTGTTCTGTACAGAGATACCTGCATAGGTATGAAAACATATATGCGACAAATATAACTCGTTGGGGAAAAGAGATGCAGGAAGTGTAGGAGACTTTCTGGCTGTGTACCAAGCACATGTTTACTTACTGATTATTTCTGTTACCTGTGGTTCTTTGGGATTACAGTCTGACAAAGAAGTGGTTGGGAATTTCTGATAGGAACTCTTTTTTTTTTTTAAATAACAGAGAGAGAGAATTCAACTAAGGAGATCAAAGCATTCAGTCTTTCTGGCAGTCTAATGTAGCATGCTTCCAAAATACTTAAGTAATTCTTCTCTTTAAAATAGGATGATCGTGAGTTTAAATGCATAAATTTCTTGTAGCATTTATGTGAAATATGCAGATAATTCTTTTACTAATGAAACTGCACTTGTCTGTGTACTTAAGTATAAATTTTGTTGACAAATCTTTTAGATCCTTTCTAGACATAAATATCTTGTGTGTTAGCTATATCTCTAAACAGAGGGGGAATGAGTTTGATAGCCAATCTGTAGTTTTGATTGCTTGTTGCTTTTTGGTGAATCTTGCAGCTCCATTTACAGGGTTAATTTGTGGGTGTTTATTTTTCCTGTGTTCATGTATTTCTTCAGCTGTCATGCTACTTGTAAATTGCTTATTCTATCTTCTTTCTGTAAAGCAATAATCTGTGGGAAAACAGCATTAGATAGATTTTTCTTTAATAACATCAGTGGCACGAGTATATAAAAGGTGCTTTGTTTATGTTTTCTCTTACTTTTGTTAGAAATGGTTATTTACAGCCTGTTGTATACAAAAATGTATAGATACATACAGTATTTCAACTGTAGCTGAGATCCAGGAAGATGTTAAATATCAAGTCTTCAGTGTTTCAAATAAGTCTGCATAGCTGGTTTGGTAAAGAGCTGGTGAAGGGTTGTTCTCTTTTTGAGTTGCTTGTGTTTGTCTTCAGCAGGCAGTAAGTCAGTACAAAAGAAACTGTATAAAACTTTCTTTTAAATATATTATTATGTCTTGCCAAACTCAGAGGAAGAAAGATATTTGGCTTTTAAGGTTGTGGTGGTAATCTTTCTTGTTATAAGCTTCCTTTGCTCTGGCTGGGAGATTAGCATCCTTGTGAGATGTTTTGGTGCACCCCCTGGGACAACATACGGGAGAGAAATTATTAGGCTTTAGTGAGAAAGGAAACGTGGTACTAGTTTTGAAAGGCCAAAATGCAGAACTGGAGCGAGCTGAATGAAATTCGGTCTTAAAACCTTCAAGAAAGGTTTGTTTCAGTTATTTTTTTTGATTCTCTTAAGAAAATAATTGGAAAACGATGTCAAACTTCAACTCTGAACAAATGGTTCCAATGTACTTGAGTGGTTCAGCTTATAAATATTAGAGGAGTCATTTAAACCCACTGATTTAGGTTTGTTGAAGAAAGGAGCATTTTCTAGAAACCTTGTATTGTATAGGAATGGTGAGAAAAAGTCAGACCCAGTTACAGCCTCCACACTTGTGAAGAAGGAGGTGAGGACTTTGCAGAGCTGATTTGAACTAGTAGAGTATGTTTTATAAAAAATCACCACCACCCCCCAGGAAAAAAGAAGAAAAGGTTTCACAGATATTTTGGGAAATGATCGTTATATCTGAAAGCCATGTTCCAAGCTCAGATCTTGGTTGGTCAGGCCATAGTTTAATGTGGAGTTCAGCCTCTCTCAGTTCTGCTGCTTCTTATCAACACAACCTCTTATCCTGAAGCCACTCAGAAGACTGTTTGATACCAAAGAGAAATCGGTCTCAAGTTTTTATTCGTTCCAGTTGCCCCTTTTCTTGCTTATTTCTCTGCATGTGCAAACCCACACGTGTGCAGAGCACGGTCCCTGCTTCCTGCGGGATCTTCTGTGCGACAGCCGCAGAACACAGCTCCCTTCCCCACACCTGTGTGTTCGGGGGGCAGCAGGCAATCTGCAAAGGACGGAGTGAAAGTAAAGACTGGAGGCCTCTTTTTCCTCCTGCTGCATGTGTGGGAATTTCAGGTCATTTCACAGACGAATAAGCACGGGGCTACCACTCACCCCAGCTACTCCTGTGTGACAGTATTTGCTTCATCACTTCACATAGCAAATCCTGTTTGATGCTTCCATCGCCGTGTTTTAATGCCGCATTGTCTTGTTCTAACAGCATTTCCCAAAAATGTATTAAAATACTCTGTAATGCACCATAATACCTATTCCAAAGAGTCCCCCGGCTGCATAAATTATTATATATGGTACAAAATTATGGTGGGATTAGCGGTTGACTGCAGATCCAGTGCCAGTGCTTTTCTTTCTGCAGTTCTGTGTAATTTAGTATGTCAATAGCCTCGCTGGTAAAACATGATAAAATTTTGTATGGCTGTATTACTAATAATATACTACATATTTACATGTGAATGGTATAATTCCTAAATATAATCAGATAGTTCAAGACAGACTTAAGTAAATGACTTTCTAAAATCTTGCTTTTTTAAAATATGTATTTTAATAATGACTCCTCTTTCTTGCAGACAAAATTGAAGAAGCACAAAAACAACTTAATGGAACGGAAGACCAACAGAGAGGTAATAAACCCAAAAAATGAAATAGAAAAAAGCACACTGCGATTCTAAAGGCTGATCCAAAGCCTTTCTGCATCAGTGAAAAGACTCTATGCGCTGGATGAGGCCCCTGGCATGTCTGTCGGCAGATCAGGGGCTGTGTCTGTAACACCCCAATTTTGCTGAGACACAGGCTTTGTTTTAACCACTTGAGTAGCTGCCCTGACCTTGATGATACTGCTGAAGCTGTAGTGTTAGGGATGTGCACAAGTCATTGACTACAGCCTGTGCTAACCATTGGTTTGTGATATGATTTCCCTAATCATTAATAACCAGATTTGGTTTATGGCAAGCAATATGTGATGATTTCTAACAGATGCTGAAGGGGTATTGATCATCACAGGTTATTTTAAGAAACAGATGACCTGTGACAGATTAAATCTGTGTGTTAGAGCTTAGAAAGCTGGTGGAAAGTTGCTGCGCTTGAAGGCTGGCTGACTGCAGTGGTACCTGTTTGGTTGTGTGATGAAGCTCATGTACACACCCGCAGAGATGGCCAGAGAGACACCGAGGGGGGAGCCCAAACATGACTTTGCTGGCCTACTGCCGGGCCCATCATGGGAGAGCTGTCCATCTCCACAAGCCCAGAGGAGCAGAGGAGCAGACAGAAACCCAAATTAAGGGCTCAGAGGAAGGGAGAGCCTGTCCGGTCCCCTCCCAGGGCTGTCCCCACAGAGTCTCAGTCCCAGTGTCCAGGAGCGAAACCCATCACCATGAGCGCTCGGGAGCAGCTCTCCAGGTCACTTTTTGAACTTAACAGTGTTGTTAGCTGTAAGTGTGGGACACGTTGGGGGATGCAGGAGAGAAGCTTTGGGAGATTACACAGGATTTATTATGGCATGTCTAGGACATAAACCAAAGGTGGAAAAAGTGAGGGATTTAGATGATATGGGAAGGAGCAAATGTGGGAAGTAGAGGGATAACTAAATAAAAAGGTCTGTTTGCGTACTAGCAGGGGCTGGCCAGGACGCTTGTCTGGCAGTGCCCTGCACCTAACCATCACCTGTCCTGCCCTGCCCTGTCTTCTCATTAAACTCCACCTTCAACTGTTTTCCAGTAAGAGGCTCTTTACTCCCTGTGTGTATGTGGGGGGTCTGTGGTGCAGCAACTGGAGAGAGTATGGGTGAGACTGCAAGCAAAGATCATGCCAGATGAACCAGTGAGTAGGTAAAGTGGGCTGGGGGCCAGGATGGGTTTGGAGGTCTCTAAGGGCCACCTCTGGGTCTGAGAGTGGCTGCTGGTCTGTGGGGGTGAGAGCACAGGAGGGTGGCTGTAGGGACCAGGTGAGTCCTGGACAGCTCTGGCTGTGTCTGTGATGCTCTGTACCAGCAACTGAAGTGGGGCTGCAGCCTCGGAGGCTCTCATGTCCAGATGCAGCAGCTGGGGAAACTGGGTTCCAGGGGTGTCTACTGGGCAGGCTCAGTTTCTGAGCCCAGCTGCTTGTGGAGTCCACCTTGGCTATTGCCATTAATGGATCTCTGTCCTGCTCAGCCGGATCATGGAGCCGGATGAGGTAGTTAGTGTTGGTGTGAGTGCTCAGTGTCCATCTGGGATCTGTATGTCCAGCCATATGTATGTATATATGTATGTGGTGTAATATGTGTGCTCTGTGTGCATGTCCCTGTTGGAAAAACATTTTCAGCCTTGCTACCAGTTGTACCTGGTGGCATGGGGCGGCAGCAGCAGCCTCATTTCTCTTGGGCTGCCAGATTTGGCATGAGATATTTTCCTCTAACAGTACCCTGTGTAAGTGCTTGTCTTGTTCTGGCATTCACCTTTCATGGTAGTGAGCTGTCCTTCTGGCCTATGACACATGTGAACAGTGTTGTAAATTGTTAATGCTCTGACCTGGAAGCAAAGTTTGTTATCTTCTGTAACAATGAACTTCAAAACTTTTTGGAGATTAGAGAACAAGAAGAAATAAATACCCAGGCAGATCTCAGCAGGGTCCTTCTGGCCCAGCATTCAGCCTCCAACAGAGGAAATGGGACATACTGTTTAAGGACAGTACATAAGCCTGGCCACTTTCTTCAGTCAGTGTCCACAGACATTGGATTAGGGATGTCTGCCCTATCCCTTTACTGTTTAGGCATTTATGGAGCTCTTATCTCTGAATCCTTTTGATTAAATGCTATCTGCATCCAGCATTCTCTGGCAGCAAGCTGCAGAATTTCACTACCAATCACATTTAAAAGTACATTATTTTATCTTTTCTCCCTCAATTTCCAGTTTTTCTTCAATTTTCAACAGGTGTCCCCTGGTTCAAGCATTGTGAGAATTGTTATATAGCAGTTCTACAGTCACCTTATTCCCTGCCTTTGTGATTTTATAAATCTTGTCCATATCTTGCTCGTCTTTCTTTTCTCCAAACTCACGCTAGTTCGGTTTTTCAAGGGAAGGTTTGATACAAACTGTCTGTATGGGCACCAGGGCTGTGGTGGTGCTCTACATGATTGTACAAGGTGGAAGAGAAAAAAAAAAAAAAAGAAGCGACTAGATGATAATAGGGTAATAGCAGTCCTTCAGGCATTTACAGAGACTTTTCAGCAAACCAGACATTCTCCTAAATAGTTTTGACATATTTTTCTTTAGTGGATTGTAGAGAAGTGGTATTGTCATCCAAACATAAACAATGTGGGATGTAAAGTATAGCTGTCTGCTCTTCTTGATGTTGGTCTTGCAGAAGTAATGTTGCTCTGGATTATCTTTTGTGATGGACATGTTCAAGCTAAAGATGAGCTAACCTCTGCTTTCAGGCGTTTGTTCTCACATATGGCCCAGTAACATCTTTGTAGAGAAATTTTCTAGTGTCAACTTAACGATGTACTCTGAAAAGGATTGGATTGCAAAGCTTTATGTGGTCGTAGCACTCAGTTTTCAGCATCTTGGGATCCAAGAGATCACTGCTTAATTTTTGGCTTCCAATCTAAATTCATATGCCTGGCAATTGAAAAATAAATTTTTACATAGAAAATTGATACAGAAATAACTGGGATAATAAGGTTACTCTTTTCAAATGAAAAATGTCCTCTGCCTTTTTTTTTTTAGTTTCTTAAATGTCTGAAAAGATAGATTTATTGCTAATATGAAGTAAACAAAATTATTTATTTGAAGCTTTAGAGTCTGAAGGCCACTGAAAAAAAGAAAATACATGTTTTGAGCTCAACAAGTAAACAAAAAATGTGCACATATTCACATAAGTTATTTTAAATCACAGTCCAGTGTATACAGATTTGTGTGAAGTATGGTTATATATTTTTCTTGTTTGTTCATTTATTTTGTCTTTCAGCTCGTATAAATCACTTTAGATTTATTTCCTGTCTGAAATGAATAGGGAATGTAATTTTGTGGAATTTTTCATAAATTAACTACTGCTTTGTCAGTAGCAGACCTGTCAGTAACACAGCATATTTTTGCATGTAACACAGGGAAAAATTTTTCAGAAGTTTCATCATGCTGGGTTTCTGCTGACTACCATTGTGAATTGATCAGTCATAACTTTATATGTGTGTGGGATTTAAGTTAAATGTAATTGACTACAAAAAGATATTTATTTAACACCTTATTTTGCCATTAGCCGTAGTAATCCAATTTAGTGCAAATTGGAATAGGACTCTGTTAAGCATGGAGGAAACAGTAAAATAGCAGACATAGTTTTCGAGTTTGTGGGCTTTGGTTACTTAGTATAAAGTTGCAACTGGAAGACCTACTTTTTTACTTTTTGGAGTGCCTTTCAGTACGCCACAAAAGTCCACAAATACATTCAGATTCTGGATATTCAGCTGGCCTGCCATTGAGACCAGAAACATGTTCATTAGGGACCATGCTCACCTTCCTGCTCAGGGAGTGTGTAAGGTGGATAATTCTTGTGTCATTTCATTTTCTCTCAACTGCCCAATTGCTGCTATGAATTTTCCGTAGGAGAAGCTGTGCTTCTCTTTAGCTTTGATGATATCTCCCAAGGCTGTTTTACACCCTGGGTGTGCCCCTACTTCGGGGTTGAATTTCATCTTCTGATACATGTACAGGGTTTTGTTAGTGTGACAGAGAAGGCTTTGCTCCCAGGGAGTGCTCCACATGGTGTACTTTGAAACCTGGAAGGGATGGTGAGCTTGAACTACAGAAAATTTCTCCTTGAGAAGGCAGTGAAAGCTTCTCTGATGTGGGACCCAGTGGGTATCGTGGGCTGGAAAGCAGTCAACCAAATCCAACTGCTTTATCTTTGATCTACCGCTGGCCATCCTCCTAAGAAAGCCATCCCAAGAAAGTCTCTCTGTCTTCTCCCTTCCAGACTGGTAAAGTCAAGTCTTCTCAGATCCTTGTGATTACCACAGAGGCTTCTGATTTGGTCATCCCCTGAACCAGTTCAGCCACTGAAGGCCAATATGAAGCGCTGTAAGCATTTGTTTTCTTCTTTATCCATTGCAGCAGTTCTCTGCCTGTCACAGCAGCCTGGGTCCTAGGTACATCAGCTCCACCAACACCATCATTGCATTCTTTGGGACTAGTGGAACTAACCTGGTTATCTCCATGCTTGGTACCAGCAATGCTAAGATTGCCACCTGAATCTCTGTCTGCTTCTGAAGCTGTTCAGGGAACTAAAGTTGGTGACAACTCCAGCAACACCAAGATTTGCCATAGAAGGATAGCAGATCCCCAAAAGAACCATCTCATGGCGTGATGTATATTCTGTGTTGCCCACTGATCCTGGGGTCTTGCTGGCTGTTAGGAGTATTATCCTGGACTCAACCATATCACTTCAGGTAACTGCTTCTTGCCATGTTACAGCCAAAAAGATCAATGACCAATGGCTAAATCAGATGGAAGATGGATTTCCTCATTCTACTTTGCAGTTGTGGTGTTTGCTGTGTCCTCAGGGTATAGGGTGGTCTGGGGACATGTGTGTGTTCCTTGGCCTCATTACAGTTTAGGCTTGCAGACTGTCATGGTTGTTTGCCAGGTGT